ATATGATGCTAATGTTGTTATTCTTATTCATACAACTGCTGAACTTTTCTGCAAAGTAAATAAAAGCAGCAATTACATGCAAACTTTTCTTCTTCTTCAAACTGTACAACCTTTGTTTTACAGGCCAAAACTTGCAGCATTTATTTCTTTTTCCCTCCTTCCATAATTCTATCTATTCCTTGCTTGCTATATTTACATATAATAAGAGTATCTGCAGGGTTATGTCATCTGAACATTTAGGTGAGCACGAGACTGGCATGAGAATCAACATTGCCTGACCCAGAATTTAGCTGAAGAAACAGGAAGGAAGAAAAGAAAAAAGCACTCCGTTTTTGGCTGCTAGAAGTGTTGCCAAACAACAAAACTACCCCACCACACACTTGCTATTTCCCGCAACCTGTTTCCTCATATATAACCACTTTGCACCTCAAGCAAGGGATAAAAGTGTGATACAAATATAATAATAATATCAACAATATTAGGAGTAGAAATTTGTGAACAAAATGATTTTTTACCACTATTCACCACTGAGTCTCTTCAGATAAAAAAAGTAGTATGCAAACAAAAAGGAGGAAGAAGAGGAAGAAGGAAGAGAAAGAGAAGGAGAAGAAGGAAGCAGGTGTAGTAGTTCTTAAGGCCCCTTCTATCCTGCCATATAATCCACATTATCTGTATTGAACTGGATTACATGAGTCTACAAAGCAGATAATTTGGATTTTATATGACAGTGCAGAAGGGACCCAAGAAGAAACATTTGGGGACTTAGAGAAATAGTAAGCAAAGGTGTGTATGGACACAATAACATACATCAGGTGTGTATAAAGTGCTGCATGATACACAAAAAGTGTGGAAGCCAATGTGATTCTGGTCCCCTCTACACAGACATATGAAATCCAGATTATCTGCTTTGAACTGGATTATTATTATTACTATTATTATTATTATTATTATTATTATTATGGAAACTCAAGACTTCGCTGTGGGACCTTGCATTTGACCATTGAAAAGAGGCTTATATGAAGAAGACATAAGCAATTTTGAAGTGACAATGAATTGACCCGGATCCGGATTTTAATTGGTGTGTTTTAACAACTGTTTACTTAATGTTTTGTTTTAATAAATTTGTTGATTGTTTTTATTATTATGATGGCACCAAATGGTGTTTGCTGTGAGGCTGCCCTGAGTCCCCCCTGGGGGGGGGGGGGGTGAGAAGGACTGGTTACAAGTATATGAAATAAATAAATAAATCATATGGCAGTGTAGACTCATATAATCCAGTTCAAACCAGATAATGTGGATGATACGCTTTGATAATCTGGATTATATGGCAGTGTGGAAGGGACCAGTGATTTCAGTGTTGCAGTAGGGCTGTAATAACAGAGTTCAAATCTCCAAATGGCATGGATATCCACTGGATGACCCTAGACAAGTCACAATTTCCTGGCCTAAGAGGAAGGCTCAGACAAACCTCCTCTGAACAAATCCTGTAGAGCCAGTGTTTTGTAGTAGTTTGAATATTACAGCCTTATCACACAAGGCAAAATAAGCATCCTAGGACACTTCTGCCCCAGTTCAACCATGGAGCCCCACACTGCCCATCATATGACATCTGGCGACTTCTGGAGGGGCTTCATTGATGAACCGGGGCATCAGTGTGGTAGGAAACTACTACTACAAACACAAAGGTAGCCCCGTGTTCCATAAGAAGCAACACATAGGATGGGGAAGCATCAGTAGCTGGCCGGAGCCCTGGGATTGCCCCAATGCTGGCCTGATTTGCCATGGATGCTGACAAATCACAATTCTGGTAAGACAGCATGTGATGAGGTCCTTAGACTGTGTACAGACCAGGATTTGAATCCCTGATTTGTCATGGAAACCCCCTGGTTGACCTTGGGCAAGTCACATTCTCTCAGTATCTTAGGGGAAAGCAACCTCAGAAGGTAAGCTTCCCAATAATGCCATAGCACAGCAATCGTCTGGTTAATTACACATTTGCGGGGGGGAGGGAGAAAGATTGTGTGACTAGTGTTGCAGTCAGCCCTCTTTATATGTGAGGATTCAGTTCTGCAGATAGGAAGAAAACCGAATCCTCTCTTTTATACTTGTCCATAATTACTGATAGTCATCAGAGGGCTTGATGCATATCTTGCCACCAAGGATGTATCCATGACTAGACTTTTTCTTTCTCAGCAAATTCATCATGTAAATCCCTCCCTTGGTGCTTGACCTTCTCTTTATCATACCATAAACGGGCAGCTAAGACTATTTGATTCGGTTGGCATTTAAAATGAGAACCAGCCTGGTATAGTAGTCTGAGGACTACACTTGACTTGAAGCCATGGAAACCCACCGGGTGATTTCGAGCAAGTCATACTCTTTCCATCTCAGAGGAAGGCAAAGGCAAACCTCCTCTGAACAAACCTTGCCAGGAAAACAATAGGATAAATTTGCCTTAGGGTTGCCGTAAGTCAGAAAGGATTTGAAGGCACATAATAACGTAACTAAATGTTGCACTACTAGATCTTAAAATGGGGAACATTCAGTGCATCCATATGGAAGATTCGCAGCAACAACAAACATCCAAAGGGAGTCAGGGCATTTTTCTCCCTATAATAGCATCAATCATATTGCTAATTTGAATGGTGATAGTAATGATTAACTTTCTAGCCTGCCTTTTCCCTCAGAATCAGGACTGAAAAGGGGCAGACAGGGGGGCTAACCTTGCAACAGAGGCTCACTTCAAGAAGCGCAATGATGAAGCATTTGTTCAGGGCAGGTAAACGGAAATCCTTCCACAGCTCCTTCCTAAATTGATGGGACCTGCTTCTCCCAAGATTTGTTTGGATGACTTTTAATGGTGTTGGGAGGAACAGCAAGAAGAGCTGAGATTGGTGGAGAATGCCTGTGGTTCTAGGTTGCCTTCAGGATCTTAATTAAAGCTTGTGCACCAGTTGCGCCTGTATCTTGAGAAGCCAGACTTGGCCATGGTGGCCCATGCTCTTGTTACATCAAGAATAGATTACTGCAATGCACTCTACACAGGGTTGCCTTTGAAGACTGGTCAGATGTTTCAAATAACCCAAAGGGCAGCAGCCAGATTCCTCACTGGAGCGGGGTACAGGGAGCACACAACCCCTTTGTTACGTCAGCTCCACTGGCTGCCAGTCTGCTATGGAGCACAATCTGAAGTGCTGGCTTTATCCTATAAAGCCCTGAACGGTTCTGACCCAGCTTACCTGTCAGGGCCTTCTAAGTGGTGGCTCCTCGACTCTAGAATTCTCTCCCCAGTGAGATTAGATCAGCCCCCTCCCTCCTGACCTTTAGAAAGAGAACAAAGACATGGGACCAAGCTTTTGACTAGTAAAGTAATGCAGTACAAGAAGTAAATATGGAATATGTGTAATTGACATTTGCTGGAAGGAAAGGAAAGGAAGGAAAGAAGGAAGGACGGAAGGAGAGGAAGAAAAGAGAGAAGGAAGGAAGGAAGGGTGGAATGGAATGAAGGGAGGGAGAAAGAGGGAGGGAGGAAAGAAGGAAAGACAAAAGGGAGGGAAGGAAGGAAGGAGAAGGAAGGAGAAAGAGGGAGAGAGAAAAGGAAGGAAGGATGAAAGGTTGGAAGGGAAGGATGGAAGGAGAGGGAGGAAGGAGAGGAGGAAGGAAGAAAGGGTGGAATGGAATGAAGGAAGGGAGAAAGAGGGAGGGGGGAAAGAAAGAAGGAAAGACAAAAGGGAAGGAAGGAAGAAGGAAGGAAGGAGAAAGAGGGAGAGAGAAAAGGAAGGAAAGATGAATGAGTGGAAGGGAAGAATGGCAGAAGAGGGAGGAAGGGGAGAAGGAAGGAAAGAGAAGGAAGGAAAGACAAAAAGGAGGGAAGGAGAGAAGGGTGGAAGAGAAGTGAAGGAAGGGAGGGAAGGAGAAAGGAAAGAGAGACAGAAGGAAGGATGAAAGGGTGGCATGGCATGGAGGGAGGGAGAAAGAGAGAGGGAGGAAAGAAAGAAAGAAAGAAAGAAAGAAAGAAAGAAAGAAGAAAAGGCAAAGGAAGGAAGGAGGAAATGAAGGAAGGAGAATGAGGGAGGGAAGGAGGAAAGAAAGAGAGAAGGAAGGAAGGATAGGATGATGAGTGAGAGGAGGGCCTGAGAAAGGGACCAAGGGCCCATATCTGGTCCCCAAGCCTGGGTTCGCCCATATAGCCTCCTCTGCCCAAAGGGTTCTGCTGTGTCTCACAAAGATCTCACAGCATGGAGCTATGGATGTCAAGCTGCATCCCTTCAAGCCTGGAGAGGCAGCCTGAAGCAGCACTAACTGCCGCCTCCACTGCAACTTAGCAACGGGGGGGGGGGGGTGCGGCAGCCATAAAGAACTGTGCTGTCCCTAGGTTTGGCTCCAGGGGGAGGACGAGGGACAGGAGGAGGAGGAGGAGGAGGAGGACAGAAAAGGGCGCATTCAAGGGCATTCATTCGGCCACCAGAGCTGAAAGCGAAAGGCTTCCAGAGAAGGAGAGGGAAGGGAGGAGAGGGACACAGAGAGAGGCACATAGAGAGAGGGGGAGAAAGGAAAGGAACACAGAGAGGGATAAAAAGTGAGAGAAAGAGAAAGAAGGGACACACACAGAGAGAGAGTGTGTGCATGAAGGAGAGTGGGGGGTATAGACGAAGGGGGAGGTGAAGGACAGAGTGTGAGAGAAGAAGGGAGGGGGAAGGACAGGAAAAGAGGGCCAAGAGGGACCTAGAGATAGGCAGACGGGCAGGCGCAGCCAGATAACGCTTCCGAGAGAAACGTGGACTCCAGGGCGAAGGCTGGGCAAGAAAGCAACGCTCTCTTCGAGCCCTCGTGGGCGCCTGGAGCTGCTTTCCTCCTGGTCTCCCTCTCCTCCTCCTCCTCCCTCAGCCCCCCTTCTTCCAGAGGAACCCCTTCGGTCCTGCCTCCCCCTCCCTGAGTTCTCCGGAGGCTGGCCATTGGCTGCCCGGGCGCCGACGTCACTGGAGGGGGCGGGAGGCGTCTTCGGAGGCGCGGGAGCCCGCCGGAGAGACTGGCTCGCGCAAACCATGCTGGAGCCCCGGAGCAAGTGGCGGCGGTGGAGGCGGCGTCGGAGGCGCTCCCAGCAGCGGCAGCAGCTGCTGCCAAGAGCCTGGCTCTCTTCCTCCTCCTCCTCTTCTCCTTCATCCTCTTGGATGATGCCCTGAGCGGCCGGACCCCTCTTGCTGCTCTCCGCCGGACAGCCATGGGAGATGGCTGGGTCTTCCTAAGCGAGAGCCTCCAGAACCGGTCCAACTCCAGCGGTGCCCAAAGCAACGCCTCGTCCCCGCCCAGCCCGGGCGCCTTGCCCCTGGCCCCCAAGGAGCTGTCCCAGCAGTGGGTGGTGGGCATGAGCCTCCTCATGTCCCTGATGGTGACCTTCATCGTGGTGGGCAACGGCATGGTCATCGCAGCCATCGGGCGCACCCAGCGCCTCCAGACCCTCACCAACGTCTTCATCACCTCCTTGGCTTGCGCCGACCTGGTCATGGGCTCCGTGGTGGTGCCTTTCGGGGCCACGTTGGTGGTGCGCGACACCTGGCTCTGGGGCTCCTTCCTCTGCGAGTGCTGGACCTCAGTGGACGTCCTGTGCGTCACGGCTAGCATTGAGACCCTCTGCGTCATCGCCATCGACCGCTACTTAGCCATCACCTCGCCTTTCCGCTACCAGAGCCTCATGACCAAGAAGCGGGCCAAGGTCATCGTCTGCGTGGTCTGGGCCATCTCAGCCCTGGTCTCCTTCCTGCCCATTATGATGCAGTGGTGGAGGGACGACGACCCCGAGGCCTTATTGTGCTACGACGACCCCGGTTGCTGCGACTTCGTCACCAACAGGGCCTACGCCATTGCCTCTTCCATCATCTCCTTCTACGTCCCCCTCTCTGTGATGATTTTTGTCTACATCAGGGTCTACCGAGAAGCCAAGGAACAGATGAAGAAGATCGACAAGTGCGAGGGGCGTTTCTACAACAACCACCACCAAAAGCAGCAACACCAACACCCGCCAACCCACCAGCAGCTGCCTATCCTTGGCAACGGTCCGGCCACCAGGAGGAAAACCTCCCGCATCTTGGCCGTACGGGAGCAGAAGGCCCTCAAGACCTTGGGCATCATCATGGGGGTCTTCACTCTGTGCTGGCTGCCCTTCTTCTTGGTCAATGTGGTCAAGGTCTTCAACAGAGGGCTGGTTCCAGATCAGCTCTTTGTTTTCTTCAACTGGTTGGGTTACGCCAACTCCGCCTTCAACCCCATCATCTACTGCAGGAGCCCTGATTTCCGGAAGGCCTTCAAGAGGATGCTGTGCTGCCCAAGGAAAGTGGACCGGAGGCTGCATGCCACTACTGGGGATCTCTCTCGGTACCCGGGGGGCTTCATTAGTACTCTCGGAGATACTGCCCCATGCACTCTTGGAGGGACGTGGTCCGATTACAATGGTGGTGCCCGGGATGGAAGTGACTCCAGCTTAGAGGACAGGAACAGTAAAACCTCCCATTCAGAATCCAAGGTATAAGGGCAGTTTGGTGGGAAGGATCAGAGTTCGTGGTCAGTCCTGTGGAAACGGAAAGGGAGCTGAAGGAATAGACAGAACAGGAAGGAAGGAATAACTAAATCACTTGGGAGTCTGGCTAATGTACAAATCACCTGATTGACTTGTCATTATGGGGGAGAGAGTTTTATTTATCCTAGAGGGAAAGCAGGTGAACTTGGCTGTTCCATACCTCTTCTGAATCACCTGAAATGGAAGCAAACAGAGAGCATCTGGCCATTGAACAAAAGAGGTTAATGATCCACCCCCATCCCAACCTCCAAGATATTTGGATTATAAGTATTTACATGGAGGAGAGTTGCATGGAGAAACAGGGAGGGAGGCGTGAGTAAGTTTGAAGGAGTTTGCCAAACAAATGGCTTGTGAAGAGCTGGACTTGTAGCAGGCACTTAGGCTGAAAGTCACTGAAGGAGGCAACCAGGGTGTGTATTCCTTTGCCGATAATGGAAGGAAACATCATTGAGCCCTTGGTGGTTTGATTGGAGACTATGCTGGTTTTACAAAAAATGTTCTTTACATTTATCCCAAGAACTTAGCACAAAAATTAGCCTATTTTCAAAACATATATCGATATGTATCCTTTTCTGAGAAGTGCTGGTCACCCATATAAATCCATTGATACCAGCATGACTTTTGTGCAGGCAGTCAAAACCTTTTGCAAATCCATGCTAAAAGGCTCCTTTAATATGCTGTCGGGGGTAAATACCTTGACGAGTTTTTTCATGAGCCTGTGCGTATTTAGCAGAATTGAGTTGATGGAAGTTACCCTCAAGTAAATGTGCATTAGCTTACAGCCTTAAATATCCTCGTGGCCACATTCTCCTTAACATCCTAGGAGGAAATGATCAATCAGTAATATTGACATGTTGTGTATTCTGATCAAGTATCTCCTTATTTCTGATCCATATTATATCCCATTGACTTGTGGGGTGGGGTGGGGGCTGAAGGTGCATTCTTCTTGTCCTACGAGACAACAGCAATCAGGCTACAAATTGTCTACCTCAAGCTGTGCATATTGTACAGGGGAAAACGTGTTTATATTAAACCGCTTATTTATGTCTTGTCAGTTAGGGGTTTGTTTTGTTTTCCATAGAGACAGGCGCATCCATCCTCTAGTAATCCCTTCATTCACTCTGAAAGGTGAGAGGGGAAACTGGGCTTGGAGCATTAGAAATATTTGAGTGGTTGTGTGTTTTCCAAGCTGTATGGCCATGTTCCAGAAGCATTCTCGCCTGATGTTTCGCCTGCATCTATGGCAGGCATCCTCAGAGATTGTGAGGTCTATTGGAAACTTGGAAAATTGGGTTTATATATCTGGGGATTCCGTGAAAATGAACAAAATGTGGCTACCAGTATTTAAAAACAACTCTAAAATTATAACAGTAAATAAAGAAGAAAACTCAAACACAGGGAAATTCCAGACAAGAAACAATCAGTGACAGCTAATCACCTCCCAACAAAGGATTCCCCCAGGTAGTAACAAGCCACACCTAAAAACTGTCAGGCTATCCAATGCTAATCAAGGTGGCCAATTGAAACATTCACACCTAGCTCCAACAGACAAGAGTTCTTTCTCCCACCCTGGACCTTCCACAGATATACAGTATAAACCCAATTTTCCTAGTTTCCAACAGACCTCAACCTCTGAGGATGCCTGTCATAGATGCGGGCGAAACATCAGGAGAGAATGCTTCTGGAACATGGCCATACAGCCTGGAAAACTCACAGCAACTCAGTGATTCTGGCCATGAAAGCCTTCAACAACACATCGGAAATATTACTGCACACTTGAAAAGAAAGAGAGAGGGTGTTTGTTTTCTTTTTCTTTTTTGCACAGTGTTAACAAAGTTAGTTGTGTAGGTGATCTCTCTTTCTCTCACACACACATTCACACTCACTGGAAAACAAAAACAAAAAATTAAAACACCAAAGTCCCTGCTTTGATTTCTGTCAGGTTGCCATTTTATTCTATTTCTAAAGCATTTTACAATTATTTAATTGAGGTACTGTAAGTATACTCGTACTATAAATGAGTTTATTTTAAGTTCTTTTTTTAAAAAAAATACCCATGTGAACCTGTTGGGAGTTTAGCACTTTGTTGTCGTAGCCCATGTTTCCCTATGTCTGTGTCTGTGTGCGCACATGCTCGTGCGTGTGCTATGTGAGAGAGTATGTATGCATTTTTATAACGTATTTATATATTTTGGGTGCAGTTTACTACTGTATGTCATCGGTCTATGTGCAATAAAAACCACTGCAGCACAAGCAAACCTCTCTACAATGTGTGTCTGTAGGTTCAGAAACAGTAGCCACTCCTGATGGGAAAAGCAGAGTCTATTTTGCTGAAAATATGGATCCTATTACCGATATTGTTCAACTTAATGTTTTTTTTTCCTGACACAGTTATCTTCCTTTTATAAAAACAACAATAACAACTTGCTGTGTCAAATAAAGTAGTGGCCCTATTAGATGGAACGATGAAGACTTCCCCAAAAATTCAGGGCCAAAAGCAAGTTGGTTTACAGTCTGGCTAAAAATACATTACCTACTTTTCTGTGATGGATGTTACTTATTGTCTGTTTGAATCTGGTTTGATAATGGGGTAGGGGCAGGTGGCTAGAGACTACATAGTGAAAATATGAGAACTGTGTTTGCTTTTACTGGGAACACGGAATATTAGAAATTTATTGTGCCTTGGGATACAGAAGACATAAATCTCTTGCTCACAGTTAATCTCTTGGAAATCTCTTATAGTCGGGCTATTTAGTACTCCAGAAGGCGAGATTTTGCAAATTGTAGAATCTGTCTGTCTTATTTACCACCTCAGTGACTGCTGGAGAAATGTTTAATTCCCATGTATGCAAGATAATACCATTTTAAAATGACAGTATATTTTCAAACCATTTGCTAGATTGCGAATTACCTGTTGTGGAGTAATTAAGTTAGAAGGAGCCACTTTTAAGAAGGAGATTCTTCACATATTACTCATGGAATGGTAGCAGTTGTTTTTTTTGTTTTTTTTTGTTTTGCTTTGTTTTTAAAGAAATAGGCATTATTTTGAGAACGTTTAATCTGTGATCTCATGACGATCCCCAACAATGTTAGTATTATAATCAGACCATCTTTGTTTCATTTGCTTTGTGCTAGGAAAAGCCCCATCTCATTTACTTCATTTTACCTGCTTGTGGGATATTCTCAGCTTGCGTTGCCACCCCTTTTATGCCAATGCTTCTGCACAAGGAAGGAGAAACATTCCCATAGTTTGGAAGCAATAATGATTGTTTTAAACAGTTTCACTCATCCTGTTCTCAGTAAATCTGCATTTTAGTCATTTGAGTTCTATGGTTGTAGTATATCTTCAACTGCTGTTGCCACCCTTTTTAATGGAAGGGCTTCTGTGGATTCAGAAGTAGAAGTATTTTCACAAATACGTTTTTGCAATTGTTTAGCAGTTATAAAAATGTTTTGATGATTTCCCCCCCATAAGGCTCTGGTTCTATAGTTTGTATACTAATCTGGCACAATTCTTTGCTGGAGGGGGAAAGCATGGTATATATTCCTCAGATAATAAATACATTTCTGCCTGTCATTAAACTGTTCAAGGCAGAGAAGTCTTGACAGGAAAGAAGGGAGGAGGGGGAGGTGAAATGGGAACACTGTTATTATCTGAATCTAATCTTAAATGGGTGACTGATCTGTTTGGGAGGTGGAGGATCAATACTGAATGGAAGGAGACAAACCACTTGCTTCAGGATGATCTCCCTAAGATTCTGTCATTTATATTTAGGATTCAGTAATACAGCATTTCTCAATCTGGGGGTTGGGACCCCGGGGGGGGGGTCATGAGGGGGTGTCAGAAGGGTCACCAAAGACCATCAGAAAGCACAATATTTTCTGTTGGTAATAGAGGTTCTGTGTGGGAAGTATGGCCCAGTTCTATCATTGGTAAGGTTCAGAATGCTCTTTGATTGTAGGTAAACTATAAATCCCAGCAATTACTATTCCTTATTTATTTATTTATTTATTTATTTGCAGTATTTATATACTGCCTTTCTCACCCCTGGGGGGACTCAAAGCGGTTTACACATAAATAATGGCAAGATTCAATGCCTTACGTTGGGCACTGATACGATGCCAATATAAACAATTACAATAGTAAAACTACAATTACACATAAATCACAATTAAAATAATACATCAACAAGCATTAAAACAATAATGTCAAGGTCTCCCCCCCCCCCCCCCAACCCCCCGTGTTCACATTTGGGCATATTGAGTATTTGTGTAGAGTTTGTTCTAGATCCATCATTGTTTGAGTCCACAGTGCTCTCTGGATGTAGGTGAACTACAACTCCCAAACTCAAGGTCAATGCCCACCAAACCCTTCCAGTATTTTCTGTTGGTCATGGGAGTTCTGTGTGCCAAGTTTGGTTCAATTCAATCATTGGTGGCATTCAGAATGCTCTTTGATTTTAGGTTAACTATAAATCACAGCAACTACAACTCCCAAATAACAACATCCCCCCCCCCCCCCATCCACTAGTATTCAAATTTGAGCGTTTTGGGTATTTGTGTCAAATTTGGTCCAGTAAATGAAAATACATGCTGCATATCAGATATTTACATTACAATTCATAACAGTCGCAACATTACAGTTGTGAATTAGCAACAAAAATAATTTTATGGTTGGGGGTCAATGCAACATGAGGAACTGTATTAAGGGGTCATGGCATTAGGAAGGTTAAAAACCACTGCAGTAATAGATCAACCTTGTTTTGAATCAAAGGAAATGGCTGCTCCTCTTAATCAAGTATACTATGTTGGGCTTTGGGTGAGGTTCTAAGTTACACAGATTGTCTGCCAAGTGATAAATTCTGTAGAGAGAAAGTGAATGTTGTTCATGTAAAAGATTACTCCATAGTGCTTAGAGTTTCACTGCTGAGGTGGCTTTGATCAAA